CTTAAAAAAACGCCTTCCTAAAGCATTTCCTTCCTATGTATTTATTTGCCTTTGAGTGCCCCTGTATAAACAATCTGTCATTAGTTTAAAAGCAAGACAATACATGATTTTCACAGTTGTCAATGAAAATAAGAAACTGCACCTTCTGCCCTTGTTTCTAGTTGATACGCCTGAAAAAACAAATGCAACATCCTGAGTTCACTCCAGAAATCCTATATATTCATCTTAACAGTTTTCCCCTTTTCTGATGATCTTATACCATGAGATCAGTAAGAATTCCAGGAAAAAATAAAGATGATATAATGTGCACATTACAATTTGCTTAAGTACCTGATCATCTGTTGCTAATGATTGGAGATTTCTTTTTTATAACTGCCTTAAAATTCATGTAGAAATCAAATGGTAAGATTTGGGGTGACTGAATATAAAATGTGAAAATAAAAGCTCAGACATCAAAACTTTCTTCTAAGTACCTTCAAATAAAATTGTGAAGGAGGGAATTTAAGACCACCATCTAATAGCCAATGTTACTATTCCTGCTTCATTCTGTATGTGAATTCATGTCAAAACACAAAGTGGAAAATGATTCTGAACGTCTACTGCAAAATCATGCCTATGAAATTATGTAGTGTTTCTATGGGCCAGGCAGCCCTTGAAGTGCTTTACTCACAGTAGTTCACTTAACCCTCACAACAACCCAAAAAAGTGGGGATTGCTGTCACACCCACTTTACCTTTGAGGGAACTACAGATAGAGAAGTTAAGAATGAATCCAAGGTCACTTAACGAGCAAGTGGCAGAAACAGGCATTCAACTGGGGCAGTGGTTGGCAAACTCATTAGTCAACAGAGCTAAATATCAACAGTACAAGGATTGAAATTTCCTTTGAGAGCCAAATTTTTTAAACTTAAACTATATAGGTAGGTACATTGTTATTAACTTAATTAGGGTACTCCTAAGGCTTAGGAAGAGCCACACTCAAGGGGCCAAAGAGCCGCGTGTGGCTCGAGAGTCGCAGTTTGCCGACCACGGAACTGGGGCAGATCAGAGCCCATTTCTTAACTACTCAACCAAACCATACAGTTTTCCTAGAATCTGCTGCTTCTCCTAAAAAAAATGAGAGGGGGGGATCTTTGCCCCTAGAAAAGGCTGAAATCATAAGAAGTCAGGTAGTTATGCTAGAAATCTAAAGCAATACCAGAAGTGTTGCCAATACTTCCCGCCTCTTCAACAGGCGTTATTGGGAATGAGATACACTTCCAGCCCTGATGAGAATGTCCCCAGTCTCTTAGTATAGCATCAGCCTCCTGAGTCACAAAGTTGTTTAGTAAGTAAAAGTGCCTTGAACTGTAAACCAATCAATATGAGACACTTACATTTGGGCGTCCCTGACTTGTCCCTCCCTCTGTCTCATTTTCACACCACGGCCCTCACGTCTTTTCAGGTCTGTCTACTCTGTGTGTGGATGGTCACGGGAATATCCCAGCTGGCCTCTAGAATTTTGGCCTCATGTGAGGCCAGCGTTTCCTGCACAGTGTTGCCACATTAACCCGCCCTAAATACTATTTTCTTCACAACGCTTCTCTGCCCAAAATTTTCTGTGCTAACGCTTTTCTCACCTGAAAGTTGAGGCTACGTGAAAGACGACAGTTAAAATGGTGAGAAGTTATACTGGGGCTCCTCTTCTGAATTCATCTCTAAAAAGCTCCCCCTCAACAAAACAACAAGAAAGCCCACTGCATGGGAGAACATATTTGCCAATGTTATCACTGATAAGGGTTTAATCTCCAACATTTACAAGGAATTCATACAACTAAACAAAAGGAAGATAAACAAACCAATCAAAAAATGGGCAACGGACCTAAATAGAAACTTTTCAAAAGAAGACAGAAGGAATGCCAAAAGACATATGAAAACATGCTCCAAGTCACTAATCATCCGAGAGATGCAAATCAAAACAACAATGCGGTACCATCTCACACCTGTCAGACTGGCTATCATCAACAAATCAACAAATGACAGGTGCTGGAGAGGATGTGGAGAAAAAGGAACCCTCGTGCACTGCTGGTGGGAATGCAGACTGGTGCAGCCACTATGGAAGGCAGTATGGAGGTTCCTCAAAAAATTGGAAATGGAACTCCCATTTGACCCTGTGATCCCACTTCTAGGAATATATCCCAAGAAACCAGAAACACCAATCAGAAAGGATATCTGCACCCCTATGTTCATAGCAGCACAATTCACCATAGCTAAGATTTGGAAACAGCCTAAGTGCCCATCAGTAGATGAGTGGATTAAAAAACTGTGGTATATCTACACAATGGAATACTACGCTGCAGTAAAAAAGAAGGAGTTCTTACCATTTGCAACAGCATGGATGGAACTGGAGAGCATTATGCTAAGTGAAATAAGCCAGTCAGAGAAGGATAAATACCACATGATCTCACTCATTTGTGGAATATAATGAACAACATAAACTGACGAACAAGGACAGATCCAGAGACAGAGAGGCATTGATTGGACTGTCGGGCCTTACAGGGAGGGTAGGGAAGGGTGGGGGTAAGGGGAGAGATCAACCAAAGGACTTACATGCAAGCATATAGGCCTAACCAATGGACACGGACAACAGGGGGGTGAGGGCATAAGTAGGGGGGGGATAGAGGGTAACGTGGGGATAAGGACACATATGTAATAACTTAATCAATAAAAAAAATAAAAAAAATAAAAAATAAAAAGCTCCCCCCTTTTACATTCCAAAATCCCTACTCCAATCTGTAAGTATGGCCTGAAGTCCAAATGAATAAACACTGCCCATTTATCATCACACAGCATCTCAACTCCTCCGAAATTCCCGTGGTATTTATGACCCGCATCTCCTTGCTAGGTCATCTGCCTCTGGTGTCAGACCTCTCTCCTCTGTCATGCACATTCCCAAGCTTTATTTGGGGTCCTCCTCTGAGCACAGCTTTCTAAGTCCAACTGAGCTCAAACCTACCTTCCACACAAACCTTTCTAAGTACACCACCCTCAATGATGTCCTTTCCACACACAGAACAAGATGGTTTACAAAACATTTTGTGTTTACTTTATTGCATTTCCCTATCTACAAATAAATATGAACATTTTTTTCATGTTTACTGTCTATTTATATTTGCTCGTCTGTGAACTGCCTATTCACCTCCTTTGCTCATTTTTCTACAGAGTGGTTAATCCTTTTTTTTCAATATGAAAGAACTTTTGTGTATTCCAGATATTAAAATGTTGTCATCATACACATTATAAATATTTGAATAACACTGCTCTTCTTTTTATACTTAAAAGCTCTCCCTGGCTGATGGTTAGAGCATGTACCTGGGTTGCAGGTTCTGTTCCCGGCCTGAGTCAGGGCGCTTGCAGGAGGCAACCAACAGATGTGCCTCTCTAACATCAATGTTTTGCTCTCTTCCCTTTTGCCCCTGCACCCTTCCTCTTTCTAAAAATCAACTGAAAAAATATCCTTGGGTGAGGATTAACAACAACAACTACAAAAATTCTCAGACACTACCTTCTCCATATGATAAACTCTTACCATTTTATGTTTTTCAGTTATAGTTTTACTCATTTACATCTCTTCATGGTGAAATGTAATTAGGACATTTGAAACTTGAAGAATGGATATTTTCAAAGTTGAAAGCACTTTAAGCATATAAAACTTACTGTATGATATATTGTTGACTTTGCAAATGTTATTTTTTTTCATTGAAAGAATTTTAAATTGTTTTATAGTCAAGTACATCTATTTTTTATTTATTTTTTAAAATATTATTGAATTACATATGTCCCCTTTTCCCCCCATTGACCTCTTCTAGTCTGCCCACCCCCCACCACCTCCCGCCCCATCTCTAGTCTTAGTTAAAAACAACTCTGTTATCTCTATTTGATATGTATGGTCTCCTGGGTTTTCTTTTTAAGATTTTAAAGTTATTTTATTGTTTACATTCACATAGTTAATTCATCTGGAATTCATTTTTTATATGGTTTAAGGTTCAGGTCCAATTTTATTTTTACCCTGATGGATGACCAGTTATGTCAGCACCATTTATTAACTAATCCAACTTTTTCCCACTGACTTGAACCAACACTTTTATCATATATTAAGTTTTTATACATATTGGAATCTATTTCGGGATTCCCTTTTCATCCTACTAATTATTTATCTCTTACTATACCAATCCCATATTGATTTAATTTCAGTGGTTTTATATTATGCTATGGTAACTTATAACTTAAGTTCTCCCTCACTGGTCTTCATTTTCATACTTTTAAGAGCTATTTTCAGGCATTTCCTTTTCATTCAAACTCTAAGATCATTTTATCCATATTTTTTCAAATCTGTTGCAATCTAATAAAAATTGCATGACATGTATGTCTATGTATGTACGTGTGTGCACACACACACACACACATATATATATATATATATATTAATTTGGGAAGAATTGAAATTTTTATCTATTGAGAATTTCAACCAAAAACATGCCATGTCTTTACACTTTTTCCGATTTTGTTTTATGTTCTTCAATAAGATTTCAAAGTTTTCTTCATTTCCATCACTCTTGTTTAGTTCATGATTAAACTAAAGCATTTAAAAATGAAGAAACTAATGCTTTATTACTAAGCTAAAGAGTGAGTGTGTATATAGATAAATAGAAATTTCATTTTTTGGTATGACTACTGCTAAATTTCAGAAATCCTGAGAAATATGACAATATGGCTAAACTCATCAAAAAAGGTTAGAATTTGAGCTGAGAGAAAAGAAAACTTTGTTTCATGCTTAAAATGGACTTATTTTTTTCATACTGAAATTTATAATTATTGTAATCCTATCTGAAATAGTTTCAGAAACATTATCTTTGCATATTCTTGAAAGTAAAGATATTATCTAATATGAAATATTTTCCTGTGCTGCTAGAAACAAAATCTCTGAATAAAATCATTGTGAAATCATGAGTACAGTCTTACTTGACTAGAAAGTTTAGAAGCTTCAACAGCATGTTCAAAATCTAGTCTTCCAATTACAGCAGGCTCTTTATTCATTACTCCTTGGCCTTTCTTGTATTCTGCCTAAAATGAATAAATGAGAGAATGTTAAATATTTCTACTTTCCAATGAAGAATTACATTGACACTAGCCACAAATAGATAGATAGATAAATAGATAGATAGATGATAGATAAAAGACCCTCGGTCCATAAAAATATTCCTTACAGCTCATCAAATTCGAAAATACTGAATGCTAAAGCAGAAATTGATTTTATAATATGTCTATCTAAATAAAGTCAACATTTCTGTAGTAAAATAATTACTCATTTTGCGCCATGTATCCAATCATCATCATCATTGTATCTATACACTGAAAAAATAAGAAATTTCTGAGTAACTGAGACTCTGTCTTCTACATACAGATAGCTTTTATGGCTTTGTTGTCTCAGGAACTGATCTAAACCTATTTGGTTAACATGCAGTTGAAGTTAGAAAATAATTATTGATTCTTAATTTTTAAGATGTGTAAAGCCTATTACTTAAGTATTTGGTTCAAGTTAAGACATCATTTTAAACCAGGTATTAGGAATGTTCAAAAAAATATTAATCAAGAAGGATGTCTTAGAGAACATAAGAAATAGCTCTGTGGTGTAGGAAACGTGCAAGGGTAAATGTTGGCAGAACAGAATCTACAAATGAACAGCTACAAGATAAGAACAAGGCCAAGTGAAGTTCTTTTGGACAAGGTGAGGTAAGAGATAATATGGGACCAGATTACTAACAACTTGACTTTCAAACTGGAACATTTGAATGCTGTCTTATACCTGAATTCTATATATCTATATATTGATCTAAAAGTATGGTAATACTAGCCATAGTCAAGTCGAGTTTTAACAGCTTCTGCATATACCCAAATTATTTACAGGATTAAATGGATAATTCAGATTTAAAAATTGAGATGATTAATTTCACTCATTAAATTAACCATGAAACTGCCAAAGCCATGCTTTGTTCCTGCAAAAATAAGAAATCATTTCTGCTCAAGATAAGAAAGAGCAATTACATTGCTTACGATCTTGGAGATCTGTGTTGCCATCTTGATGTCTGGTCTGTTGAGCTCTGCGTTATACATGTGGGTGTCCTGCATATCTTTTCTATAAGAAATCTGATCAAAGAGACAGTTTTGATTTTAAAAAAGAAATTAGTAATTTCACATAGCCTTAATGCCACAACATGATTTACCCTTGTTACAATCACCTTAGAAAGCCAACTGACATTTAATGCAACATTTATTTGGGTAGATATATTCTCTTTTTACTATACCTATACCTCACTATCATTATTACATATGAATCAACATAAAAATATGAGCCCAAGACCTTGGCACAAAACTATTCTTATAGGATTTCATATACATTCCCCTCATATGCATGCCATTGTGTCTAAGTGTGCATACTGATATTCACATAAATAACATCCTCACCAAGGGCTTTCACTTGCCCCTCATACAGTCTCTACCCCAGTGGATGCAGGATAAGCCCAGCACATGAATATAGAAAATCACTTCTGTGGGGGGAGGGTGTGTGAAGCTCTGTAACTCTCTAACTTTCACCCTGCCAACCATACCTTTCTCTCCATTTTCTGACTGGACTATTCAAATGCCCACATCTGGAAATCCTAGTGTGGGCACCGATAGTTTTATTACCTATTAAATACCATTGCAATGACTTGATCATCCCCAAATAAAAGCAATTACATTCATGAATATTCATCCTCCAAATGCACATTAGGCACAAACTAAAATGTGGAAAACAGAGATTTTAAAAGAAAAATATACATAAATTTTCCCAAAGATACTCTAGATAGCAGTGGTCATTTAGATTAACTGGACTGACAAGTAAGAATAGACCCGAAGGAACCAGTATAATGTCCAATGGTCAACACTTCACCAATCTGTCCCCTTCTCTATTTCCTGAGACCAGTCATGATTTGAAAGAACACTTAGCTATCCTCCAGACGCAGTTCTACTTGGCAATATCACCAAGGCCTGGTCAACTTGTCTATTATCTATCTATAACACTAATATGCAAATAGACCGAATGGCAGAACAACAACTGAACAACCGAACAACCGGTCACTATGATGTGCACTGACCACCAGGGGGCACGCACGGAACATGGCGGGCATCACCAGGGGGCACGCACGGAACATGGCGGGCATCGGCCGTGGCGGGATGGTGGAGCAGGTGAGTGGGGGCACCAAACCACGGCGGGGCACTAGTTGCTGTCACTGGGGCGAGCCTCTGGTGGTTACTGAAAATTCTCTGCTCCTGCGTGCCACAGTCCCACCCGGCGCTTGTACCTGCTGCCGGCACCAGCCCCACTAGCTCCCACTGCTGGCACTGAAGCCACCGCTCACAACCACTGCTGGCGCCCAGCACTGGCCCCGATCACTCAGCGCTGTCAGCGGGTGCGAGCAGCGGCTGCCGGCCCCAATCATCCATCAGGGCTTCTCCACCTCCCCCTGCTCCTGAGGGGCAATTGGGGCTGGCAGCTGCCACTTGCACCCACTGCTGGTCCCGGCCCCGCTCATAACCACTGCCGGCATCCGGCAATGGTCCCAATTGCTCGGCGCTGTCAGCAGGTGTGAGCAGCAGCAGCTAGCCCCGATCACCCTTGAGGGCTTCTCCACCTCCCCCTGCTCCTGAGGGGCGATCGGGACAGCAGTCACCACTCACATCTACTGACGAAGAAGGTCCTGCTTGCACCCGCTGCTGGCGCCAGCCCTAATCGCTACACGCCTTCAGCAGGTGCAAGTGGGGCTGGCACCGTGAGCACGTGGGAATAGTGGGAGCAGGGCTGCCAGCAGACAGGGGACCTGGGGCCACAGCGGGAGAGGCCGGGCGGGGGCACTGAGGATGGGCCGAGACCCACCCCTGTGCTCACAGCACCCTCGCGGCCCACAGTTCCTTTCAAGGTGCACTCATTTGTGCACTGTGCCCCTCGTATAATTATATATTCTACTAAAGTTATAATGCAGAGGGCATGGTAATGGTTTCAGAAATTCATGTATATTTTTTAAAGGCACAGATCTAGGTGGAACACGGAAGTACAGTGGAACCTCAGTTCTTGAATTTAATTCATTCCAGAGGCTGTTCAAGAAGTGATTTGTTTGAAAACTGAGTCATTGTTTCCCATTAGAAATAATGTAAATTGGAAATAATTATTTCCCATTAGAAATAAAGTAAATCCATTCCAGACCTGCAGATGATTCTGTTTTAACCTTTCTTATATACATGTCTAATGTACTGCTTAATCTATAAACAAACACATCTTTTCTTAAATTTATTGAACCACCCCCTATTAGCCTTTCACAAATCACTTTCAGCACTTGTCCCAGGGGTATCTTTCAGGAAGTCAGTATGCAATATCTTCACTTTTTCAAATATCACTGCCTCCAAAATGTTGTCACTGGCTAACTGCTGTTCTTCTATACAAATCAACAACAGTTTTTCTACCTCTTCAATTGCCTGTGATCATTGTGTCTTTCACACCTTAGCAACATTAGCACCCTTGATGGCCTCTTCATGATTTACAACTGTGCTAATCATCCATTTCACCAGCAAAAAAAGCAAAAATAAACATACAAACACACACACACACACACACACACACACACACACACACACACACATATTCACAGCACAATTTTGTGAGATGTTAACAACATGAAGTTTAATGGTAAACCAAGTTGCATTCTCTCCTTTCTTTGTGGCCTGAGAGACTTTTTGTCATGCTGATGTATCAGTGTAAAAGGGTTGTTAAGTCGAGAACTAAAGTTTTGTTCCATAATGGAGATATTTTTTTCTGTGAACAACTTGGTAGAGAACCAAATTGTTTGAGATGGGAGACTTTCAAGAACCGAGGTTTGAAAGTATACAGCTAAACATCTATACAAATGCACTATCAACTGCATTTTGCACAACACATTTATAATATTGCCTGCAAACCTCTTGCAATAGCATCATCTGTGGTACTTATTTCAAATTTAGATTTCTGAGGTCCATTCCCAACTTTGTAATGGAATTTCAATAAATGGGGCCCAAGAATTTGCATTTAAATGAATTTCCTGGTTAACTACTATGAATGAGTATTCTAGATAATTCCATGTATCTTATTATTTTCTTTTCAACCTTGCAGGGTTAAAAAAAAAACATTGCTACATTCCTTCTTTCAAAAATAATAAGAAGTATACAAAATGATCATGTATTAAGAGGTCAGTAGATAGGCTCCCTATGCATTATATTATTTCAATGAAACATTTAGATACATTTCTATTTACATTTTTTAAATATATATTTATTGATTTCAGAGAGGAAGAGAGAGGGAGAGATAGAAACATCAATAATGAGAGAGAATCATTGATTGGCTGCTTCCTGCACGCTCTCTACTGGGAATGGAGCCCACAACCCCAACATGTGCCCTTGACTGGAATCAAACTTGGGACCCTTCAGTCTGCAGGCCAATGCTCTATCCACTGAGCCAAACCAGCTAGGGCACTATTTACATTTTTAAGACCTTGTGTGTGCCTCACCATCAAGACTAGTTTTTCAACTATGTTTATACTCATGAACTTGTCTGACAAGTGAATAGCTTAAATACAATTAGCATAATTTCAGCAAGAATCTGTTTTCTTCAGTATTCCCATTTTCATAGGATTACCTTAACAAGTAATTTCAGGTAGGTTTTGTGCATACAGGTACCAAAAGAAACATAAAAAAATAAGCTGAAAATTGAGTTATTTTGTTGGATGGGCTTTAAATCTTTAGGGATTTAAAATAATCCAATTTTATTGGTTTCAAAAAGCAACGCACTCACCCACAAATGATAGCCAATCACCTCAGCCTGCACTGAGTTAAACACAAGCTGTGTAAACAAAAACCAACTCTCAGGTGAAAAGAAGCCAAAATCATTACTTACCTACAAAGGCTAGCTGTTTCCATGTTACTACATTCATAGCAAAACCATAGGGAGGGAATGTCTTTTTGTTTAGAAAAGAATGAGAGTAAAATGGAAACCCTTACTTTTTGAAAAGAGCTGCAACCTTTCAGAAATCTAAGCTGTACATGAGTTACCTAATTATATGCTGTTCAGCCTAATGATGGAGTGAAGAGAGGTGAACGGCACAAAGACACAGGAGCAGGACTCTGAATAGGGTCCCATCATCCATGTAAATTGCAAATTAGAGGCCAGCATATGTGACTCAAAACAAATATTAAGATTGACGTGAGCTGCAAATTCAAACAAGCGGACACCACAGAGCCACACAGGAAAGACCACAGGAGCCTGGTCACTAGTCAAATCTTCCAGAATATCGCTGCTTGGCGATAGTCCGCAGGAATGAGGGCTTAAGATGAGCAGCAAGTTCCTGGTTTTCACTAGCTGGAAGGATGTCTAAACATAGGTGGTATGACAACATGGGTCATTATCCTAAATTATTCCTTTGTAGTAAACGCGTTTTTGTTTTTGTTTTTTATCTGCCTAGCATTTATTTTTTTTAATTGGAAACTGCCCCACCCTCACTCCATGTGATTTGGTGGAGCTATCAAATACAGCCTACTTTCCTGTGACAGGCTATCCAATCAGATACCCCATCCCTTTGGAAATCATCCTATATAATAAAAGTGTAGTATGCAAATTGTCCCCTCAACCAGGAGTTCATCCTGGAGTTCGATCAGGGGGCGGGGCCAGCCGGGGAAAGGGAGGGAGGCCCCGGCTGGCAGCCACTAGGGACCCTACCAGTGCATGAATTTCGTGCACTGGGTCTCTACTGATTAATAAGAAAGCCGACATAAACCAAGCAGGGCCAGAATCATTTGAAGGATCTGAGGCTAGGAGAGATAGAGCTGCTGTCCTTTCCCCTGGAATTAGCTGCTGCAAAGTTGACTTAATTTTAAGAACACCAGCTCTCATCTTGAGACCATTTAAACAGTCTGTCTGGAAGTGAAGTCACAGAAGCCAGCAGAGCCAAGAGGTTGGGAGAGGAGAGTCCTGGTCACACTGTGGAGCCTCTGGATCCAGCCAAGCCTGAAGGTAGCATGACTTTCCCAGTTATGCAAACCAATACATTCTTGTTTTTTATATGCGCTAACTTAAGATGGATTTT